TGAAGGTGATAATACAACAGTTACAACTATTGTCTTTGTGTATTAATTAACTAATTATATGTCTAAGATATTATAAACAATGTAAAACAATAGTATGTAAATTAATATGGTGGACAGCTCTATATATTTTAAATTTAGATGTCAAGGTAGAACGTTTGTTTGCTCAAAATACAAGAGTGGAATCATTTTTAGATAATCCTGCATTTAGAGAAATATAAATTAAGAGTATGTTTAGATGTGAGAACTCCCTATGTAGGAGTAAGAAACTATGAAAATATTAAAATAGGAGTCAAAAGTCTTTTTAGACTAAAATAGGAGTTTACACTGTCATTGTTACATTGTCACACTCACCACATTGTCACATTGTAACTGCCAAACTATCAGCATTACACTACCATTACTTTTCCATCACACTGCCAACATGTACTCTTAGACCACACTACCATTATACTTCTATTTTGGTCTTAAAAAACTTAGAACTTCTATTTCTATATTTTTATGCTTTTTTTTACTACTATCTAGGGAGATATTTTTTTAAAATATATATATGTAACATGTAAGTTGTGTAGAATGCTATATATATATATATATATATATATATATATAAAATGAAATTTTTTATTCAAATAGGAAATTTTTTATTCAAATAGGAAAAAAAGGGTACTAGGCCAATGCCCCTCTAGAAATGCATGGAGAAAAACTGAATGAAAAGTGAAACGAGAGAACTACAGATGGTCATTCCCAAATTATAAAACTCTGCCTATCAGAATTAATTAATTAAAAATAATTAACTAGTTACTGAGACGGACTCAATGGAAATTATAAAAATTATTTGTTTGACGTTAGGGCTTATACCGTTGTGTACGAATCGACGAAACGAATCTAACGGTGAAATCAGATTTAGACTTGGAGCCCGTGGGCCCGAAAAGAGTGTTTGAGCCAGGTATGTTCAGTTAATACGGAGCCCAAAACCCCAAAAATATAATTATACTCCCTACACGTCCAAAACCCTCACGCCATCATATTTACGTAACTCCCTCCCCACTCTCTCGACTCTCTCGATCGAAAGCACCATCGGCGCACGAAGGAGAAGGAGAGGAAGAAGGAGAAGAAAAAGAAGAAGGAAGGAAGGGGAGTTCGTCGTCTACGTTGCTAACACTACTCTGTAATCGTTAATCGTCGAATTTGAGGTGAGTACGTGGACATCTAACGTATGGTTATAGTCAGAGGTTTGAATCTTACGTCCGTAAAATCGTTACGATTGATCTACGTGTATTATACGTGAATTATGCCTTGTTTACATCATTTACATTTTAGCATGAATTGGTTGGAAATGTTAGAAATTGTTAGATAATGTTGGATTGATGAATTAGGACCCGTTTAAGCTTGTTTTCTCTGGTATAGATACTGTTTGTTGGGTGAAAACGGAGCTGGTGCAAGTCTGGTGTTCGCCGAAACACACGGTAGGTAGGTACCGTTGACACGGTACCTGGCTACCGCCAGCCTCCCCGGTTTCGTCTCTCTCTACCGGTACCTGTCACCAAACGGCACCCTGGTGCTGGATGGGTGGTAGGCCCTATCGCCTAGTCGGTAGAGGCTACCTTGACAGCCTACCGGAGGAGACTCTAGCTGACACGGTCGGTACCCCCGTATCGTGGGGACGGTACCCTGGTACCATGAGGCCGGTAGCCCCTACCGCCAAGGGTACCGTGAGGTACCTGAACTGGTCTGAATTTGTTGTTTGCATCGAGGATCAATTCCGAGACTTTGTGTGTTGCATGACGGTAAACATGGGTATCAATATCTAGAGTTAGGCCAATGTTTGAGTATGTTGGATGTGATGAATGATGTTGTTTGAAGCATGAACATGTATGTTATGAATTATTGATAATTAAAGGATGATATACCTAGAATGAACTCTAGGAGCTAACCTGAATGGATTAGTGGCAAGTTATTCCATAAGTTAGTAAGTTAAAGTCATGTGGTACGTGCTGCGTCCAATAGTTTTCCGGATAAAAACGTGTACACGGGGATCTAAGAATTGTCGTTCCGAAGGGGATAGGGATCTCACTCACCCAACGAGGAACTCCCGAGTTGGTTTGAGCTTGACCTTCGTTCCCAAGGGGAAGGTCATGACTCCCATAGGCAAGTCGTATACAGTTAAGCTTTAACCTAGCATAGGTTAAGAGCCAAGTACAGAAAGAAAGTATAGTAAACAAAGAAAAAGAATCTTTTATTAAATCCTGAATATTGTATATCTTGAATGTTGATGTACTATAATACATGTTATATTCTATATATTGATCTGGATGTGTTGAACATGTTGTGTGCATGATATTGTATGAGGATATGGGCTAGTGGGATCATCTATGGGTATAGCTATATGTTAGATATTTCTCGTTTAGCTTCAATGCTGAGCGTGTAGCCCCTTTTTCCTATTTGCTACACGTAGGTAATCTAGGAAATGATGAGCTTGGAGCCAATCCCGCAGGGCGATGAGGAGGTTGAGATGTGCGTGGCGGTGTTCGACAATTTTGAACTATTATTATTTATTTAAATAACTTATTACTATTTCGGGCATGACTCCCAAGTTGTGTTTTGAATTACGAATTAAACTTCCGCAACCGTTTTGATTATTACTCTGATGGATACTGAATTATGTTTTGAAATGTTATTTAAATGTTTTTGAAAACTTAAGTAGGGTTTGGATACCAATTTGGTAGTAACCCGGTTCGCTGACCTATTCATTCGGGTTATGTGGGTTGGGTGTTACACATTTTATATATATATATATATATATATATATATATATATATATATATATATATATATATATATATATAAATAAAAATAAAAGACTGGCTATATCATATTTTATTTTTCCTTTAGAGATCATCGATTTTAGAAATCTCACATTTATATATGAATTTGGGGAAACTTTGTTATGGTATGAAGAGAGAACTAAAAAATAAAGATTTAGAGCATCTAGACTTTTCAATTTGTTGCGTGAAAGAGAAGTTTAACTTTTTATTCTAAGGAAACCTTCGGATTTGCTCTATAATTTATTTTATGGACTTGTGTGAGGAGTTCTCATTACCATGAAAAATTTAAGAAAATGCAACCATATGTTTTCCTTCATGTATATGGATGGAAATATTGATGGATCTCAAAACAGCGCTTGAGCAACAACTTACTCTTAGCGGGCACAATCATCATCACATACTATCTTTAATGTCACAAGATGGTGAAAAATCAGGTACACAGTTGTATATTTATGATACACAGAATGAGATATGGATCAGAATGACTCATTTTAGGTATCTCGAACACTTTATTAAGTGCGCATTTTAAATAAAGGTATTATTTACATGTATTCGACAATATAGTACTCATGGGACATTTTTAACATGCTAACAAAAATAAACTGTTCTATTAGTTTCATACAGTAGGAAGATTAATTCTTTGACTACTAATAAAAGTTTAGTCGAAGATTTGAAAAATATGATAGATGAGCATAATGTTTTAAAATAGATTTTCAGAAGACTTAGAAACTTCATGGATAATGAGCCCACTACTAATGTACATTGAGGCTGTTGAGAAGTAAAACTAGAGACTCAAGAAAATTGTAATATCTCCACAGTGCATGAAGTTGTTGCTCTAATAGTTAGAGATCTTGATTCATCTAATGAAGAAAGGGATATCATCCCAAAAAGAGATGGATTCTTACGAAAATTCTACAAGACACGCACTGTTTTCATACATTTTCAATACTCTTTGTTTCTTGAGAGTTGAACTCCCAAAAATTCGACATGTGGCAGGTCTGTTTGGCAATTTTTTACACATCATTTTCCACTTTTGATAACTTAAATGACCTGGAAATTTTAAATTAAAATATGGAAAGATCCTATTGGAACAAACCTTCATTCCCAACTATAGCACGCATGAAAAACTATTATAGAGTACATGTAAAGTAATTATAATTGGGAAGTTATAATGTTAATTATAAATAACTGTCAGTTAATTCGCTAATGGCATTTATTATTGGTTAATCCTTCCTTTTATTATAATATTTGAGGTTCCGGCTCATAGAATTTTGACATGTCAAGAGTCTATTTATGGAGTAGTGATTTGACATTATTTTATTTTATTTTTTATTGATTGAACATAGTAACTAAATCTTTATATATAAAATTTGAGAGTTGAACTCCTAGAAATTCGACATGTGGCAGGTCTGTTTGGCAATTTTTTTACACATCGTCTGCCACTTTTGATAACTTAAATGACTTGACAAGATTAAATTAAAATATGGAAAGATCTTATTGGAACAACCCTTTATTCCCAACTATAGCACACATAAAAAACTATTATAGAGTACATGTAAAGTAATTATAATTGGGAAGTTATAATGTTAATTATAAATAACTGCCAATCAATTCGCTAATGGCATTTATTATAAATAACTGCCAATCAATTCTCAATCCGTTTACGCGGTCGGGTTCCGAACAGCGAGCCCTACAACGTAGGTCAACTCTCGTATTAAATACGCAAATTAGCAAATAATTCTCGTTTTGACCGACTCAGTAATTAATTAATTAAATTAATTAATTAAAAATAAACATATATTTTTTCCCAATGTTGTACTTAAATTTTTTTCTTAAATAGTACTTGAATAATGTCGAGTAGCCGAAACAATGTCCAGTGATGGTAAACATTGAGTTTGAACAATGTCCAGTGGCGCTGGACATTTATTTGAACAATGACTAGTGGATATTAAACAATGATGCTACATTGAGAAATAAAAACATATGGTAGTACATTAAAAAATCATTATGTTTTAATATTATTTAAGTAAATTCCTCAAATAATTTTGGATCGTCTGATAGTTCCATCATGTTAGAAGTAGGGAATTCAAAGCTACAATGGAAGATTACATAATATGAATATAGATATAAATTTAGTCCAAAAACTATACAGTGTTGTAAACACCAAACTAAAGACTTAGCATGCACACATTTTTATGCACTTCCTAGTTTTTCTTACACGACATTACATATTGTAACAGTATAATGTTCTGATTTTTTCTTTTACATGATGAGTTTTTTTAAACATATAAGGAGTAATTAATATAATATTCTGGGGTACAAATAAGGTGTAATAGGAAATGGAGGTAGTGAGTGTAGCTAGAAGAAGGAGCGCTTGACAGGAGGTCTTCCGACAGCTCTCATAAGGTTGGCTAATTCAACTATAGCGGCCACTTTGGTTCCTCTCTTCCCCTCCGCGGACGCTCTTCTTTCTTCTGCTTTTCTCCGAGATTTCGCAATGTCGTTCTGCATCTTTTCTAACGCTTTGGCCTTCTTCTCCTCCAGTTTCCTCTGCGACGTCGTAAAATATCTAATTCAGGTTAGCGGGACATTACATTTTTCTCTGTTTTTTTCTTTCTTTCTTCCTCATCAACATGGTGTAGAGAGATTCTAGTAAGAGTCTAAACTCAACCTTTCATGGGTGTTCAGCCACATAACTTTTTTGTTTGATTTGGTTCTTAATTAATCACATGGTCTTGAAATCATGTTGAGCTTCAAGTTGCGAGTTTAAACCTCACTAGTCTTACCTATTTGAACAATGTTCATGTACATGACTGGAGTAGAGATAGGTCTTTGCAACACATGTGGTGAGTTCGTAGTGTTGGAGTATATAATCCTTTTGATCGAGTGTTAACTACAAACATGCATGACATTTTGATTAAGTTTGTTCTTGAGTAGACCCTAACAAACAGGGCAAGCAATATAATATAATGTATCATGTTTGTGCTAAATTTCTAACACACGCATCCATTAGGTCTATTTAGATAAATTACCCTTAGATACATTAAAATTTGAGTGCCTCCCGTGTATTCTAGGTGAGAAATAAACTTGCCGCATGGGTAGCTCATTTGGTCCAATGAGAGGATGTCAAGCCGTTAATCCTAAGATCGAATCCTGGCAGTGTGGGATTTGTAATAGCTCCTTGTACGCACCGGGCATGGAACGGCCTTTTTGAAAACCAGATTTAGATTATATCATGATTTACTCCGATGTAGGGGCGCCCGACCTTTAGGTGATAAAGTTGAGTTTGTTGAGTTTAATATATAACATTTTAGTGCTTTCACTTCCGAATTAAATTTCTATTTCTCTTCTGTCTATACTCCTCTACTATTAAGAATTTTAAGAATAAAATACTTGCTCTCTTTTTATCCACTCTTTCGAGACAAATTTTAATTATGTTATATTTTCTTAAATTTTATGAAGTCAAACATTTTATTTACTCCTTAACTTGAAGAGGGAGAGTTATTTTCATCCATACGGAGTATTTTATGTTTATCATATACCTATACCGAGTAGCTAGTCTTTATCCATTTACATTTCTTTGCTTAATTTATACCCCCGAGTAGAAATTAGTAGTCAAATCACCCTAAATAGGACTAAAACATACTTCATCCGTCCTAAAATTAACTTTACATTTGACTTTTCACGGTCTCCAATGCGACATTTTGACCATCAATATCTCAATTTTTATATAAATATATTTTATAAAAATTATATATTTCAAAACTATGTTTCAAAATGAATCTGTTGTTAATAAATTTATATGAAAATTCAATGTATTTTTTCAGTAATATACGGTCAAAGTTTAAAGAGTTTGACTACAAAAGTCAAATTGAGAAGTTAATTTTAGGACGGAGGGAGTACAAAAAATATCAAAATAAGACTTTCATATTTTTTTTGCAAAATAGGACATTGCACTGTGTAATGTGACTTTGCCTTGTTGTAATGTGGCAGTGTACATGTGCAAATTACTATATTTTTTTGGTAATGTATATGACCATGTATGGTAATGTAAGTCCTATTTCAGGAATAAAAACATGAAAGTCCTATTTTGGTATATTTTTAATGTTTTAGTCCTACTTTGATCTTTCTCCTCTTAATTTATTTCCTAGTTAAAAAACAAGTCCAAATTATTTCTCACTCTTTTTTTAAACAGTTTGAATTTTGGCTTTTGCCAGATTTATTTTTATAACTTGACTTTCCAATTATATCTTTAGTGTCGAAGAGAAAAGAGAGATAAGTCACTAAATAACTTATTGTATGAATGCAAAATGGATGAATTGAAGTATATTGCAATGACTTCATTTGAATATACTCCCTCCGTCCCAGTTTATTTGTCCAGTTTGACTTTTTCGAGTCAAACAGAATGAACTTTGAGCTTCAAGTAAATAAAAATTGTAATGTATATTAATATAAAAATAATTTTATTAGATTTATCTTGATGAGAACTTTTAAAATTTAATCTTATTATACTATATAATATGCAATACAAATTGAGAGTAATTGAAGCTCAAAGTTTTTTTAGTATGACTCGAAAAAGTCAAAATGGACAAATAGACTGAGACGGAAGTAGTATTAATCATTTTATTCAAGGAAATATTTTGTTGAAAAATTGAATAATGAAATGGAAAGTATGTTAAAAAATGGAAGGAGCACAAGTAATTAATTTGTCAACCATAGATTAAACCCTGGCCTGCCCCAAGTTGTGTGCAATTAGCTTTATTCTCAATAATGTGCAGTTCATATCCTTTGTTTTGTAAGTTTATTGCTCCGAATAATTTTAATTACTTTAAGCAAATAAGAAAAAGGAAGGAAAAAGACAAAGGTTTATTATTATTAATAAGTCTTATTTAAGAAATAAAAAAGTTTAAGTCCTACATTAGAAAATCTATTATGTTTTAGTCATATTTAGGGCAAATTTTAATTATTATTATTGGTAAAGTAATGCGCACCTCAACTTTCTTTATCCATGAAGTTGCCTTCTGAACCTCTTCACTCTCCCAGCCGTTGATAATCGCATCTTCCCTCTTAAACCTATTATTAATCTTTGCGATTTTCGCAGTCTCCCATGCACTTATCTTCGCCTCCACCTCTTCTCTCTTCACCATCTGAACCGTCGCCTCTCCGCTGACCATGGCCGCCGCCGACGACGACCCGCCGCCGGTGCGTCTAGGCGACGCCGCCCCAGCAGTGTCCGGCACGATCGCCAAAGGGTTGGTTTCCCGATACGGCGGCTCCTCCTCGTCTTCCCCAATCATTTCCAAGTTATTATGAGCAGCACCTTCGTCGCGGAGTTGATCGGCGATCGAGGATCCGGCAACCACCAAAGCGTTGAACTCTCGGCTCATGCTGGTGAAGTTCTCGCTGCTTGCGACGGAGAGAGATGAAGCCGATGATCTCGCGCGGGCCGGTGGTGGCTGCCGCGGCGGCGGAGTCAGGGCGTGGATCTCTCTAATCAGCTCTTCTTCTTCTTCTTCATGGTTGGCGTGGCTGCTGCTTGCTATGGCTAGTTGCAGTTGATCATTATTATTCAGCATTTTCTTTGAGGGGGAGTTCTTTGACTTGGCTTTATATTCTTGTTTTATTTGCAGCTTGTGTGCAAGTATGTGGATAATAATAATTACCATACTACTCGTATAATAATGGTGGGAGATCGAGTAAAGGGCCTACTAGTTTCGGTGCCACATGTGGTTTGGAAAATTGGAACAAATATCCCTTCTGTTTTCAAAATTTATTTCTAAATTCCCTGTGGTTTCAAAACGTTGCACCCACACCCCCTCTGGTCATTTTCCGGCGAAGAGGGGGATTGGCGCATAATAATGTCCAAGTGATGTTGGACATTTAGTTGAATAATGACTAATAGTTAATGATCAATGGTTCTACATTGGAAAATAAAAACATATGGTCTTATATTGCGAAAGTCATTATATTTTAGTCCTATTTTGGTAAATTACTCTTATTAAAACTCTCACATTCGTTTTTTGTAAGCACTCAGATCTAATTCTACCTTCAAAGCAGAGAGCTCACGCTATACTAGTAATATCGTTCAAGTACCGATAGGTAGGGGTGTTCATTCGTTAAAACCGTACCGAACCGAACCAACATTTCGGTAAAATTATATTTGTACCGAATACCGAACCGTATTAAATCGGTTCGGTATGGTTAATACCGAAATTATTTTGGTTTGGTATTTTCTAATACCGAAAAAACCAAAAAATTCATTTTATTTTCATCTATACTTCACTTTTTTTATTTTCAATTTGTACCACAAGCAATCTCATTCAACATTTAAAGAAATTAGAAATAATTTATATTTTTTTAGCTATAGTTAGTCATAAATTACTTAGTTTTTTATATTATTAAAAGATTATCGAAGCACATGATTTTGATACTGTAAAAAAACTGAAATATAAAAAAAGAAATCAAAAATTCAAAATACAAAAAGTATTCTATCAAAATGTTTAAAAGATCATACCTTTAGCCATCGGTAATTTATTGCCCTACGAAGTGTGATCAATGTATTGATCATTTAGAATAAATGAAACAAAAAATTGAAAAAGAAAGAGTCAAATAGTAAGCATGAGAAAATTTAGCTAGATATGGAGTATTTTTTTAGAAATCAAAATTGTGAATAAAAGGAAGGATAAAATAAGGTAGACCACTATATGAGTTGCTAGGACTCAAGGTCGGAATTCAAACTTTAAAATATTTAAAATAATAAAATGGAGTAATAATTTGGTATTCGGTAAAAAACCGAATTACCGAATTACGGAGTACTAAGCCAGACCGAACCGAAAACCGAATTTTAGCAAAAAGAAAAATCGAATACCAAACCAAATTATTCGATTTGGTTTCGGTACGTACCAAATTTTCGATTTTGGTACAGTTGAGTCGGTTTACCGAATTGTGCACATCCCTACAGATAGGTTCATTATTAACGTGTCTTACTTCTGCCAAAATATTGAGGGTGCTGCAGGCTAGCCAAAATCTCCCTCCGTCCCAGAAAGAATGTTACGTTTACTATTCTGGCATCTCGATAACTTTTGTTTGTTTACTCGTTTTGGTTGACCATTTGATAAAATAAAATATTCTTGTCGCATCTTGTTTTGTAGAGCTTTTCAAATACTTTTGAATGGTGTAATTTTTACTTTTTATTACTCTACCAATTTGAAATTAAAGTAATTTTAAAAGAGATGATATTTTACAAGTCATTCGAAGTGTTGCAAATAAATTGGGACGGAGGGAGTATTTTATAGAATGTCCTAGAACCTGTGATGATCTAAAAATTAGAAAAGCCAAAGTCAACTGGCAAGTGGCAACACAGGGTTGCCGAGAAAGGGAGTTTGGAGGGAAAGTCTCGACCAAAGGGTTTGACTTCCTACCATCCGCGGTTTTGCCTTGGTCCAACATTTTTTTCTTCTCTTCATATCTTCACGCTGAATCCAATTCTCTAACCCCGTTAAATCTTCTCAGCCATCTTCCAACTTCTTTGGATTTATCGATGTTTCTCTCTCTATTTTCGTAGCTTTTTTCTTGAACTGCACTTTTCATTTCTTTTTTCTTTCCTGGGAAGAAATTACAGATTTCTTCGTTTTCTCCGCCCCAAATTTGGATTTCTGTGCAATCTGAGGTTTACACTGAAAACCCCTCATTTGCTGGATCCCGCGGTTTCCTGGTGTTTCTTTAACAAGAATCACATTTTTGTTAGTGTGATTGACTTTGTGGGGAACGATCGAAGAAGGCTGAAGCTTTAGCTGGAAAAGATTGACTTTGTGTTTTAGCTACAATTTGAACAAAGGTTAGGTTTTAAGGCACTTTGCATTAATGGGTAATTGTTGTTGTGCTGCGCCAAAAACTTTTGATGAGAGCAGGGGAAAAAGGCCAAATAAATTTTCTGATTATAGTGGACATGGGGATGGTGGAAACAAATCCTATGTTTTGGAGAGCCGAACAGGGAATGATATCAAGGCAACCTATAAGCTGGGGCATGAACTTGGCCGTGGTGAATTTGGGGTTACCTATTTGTGCACGGATAAATCGACCGGGGAGCATTTAGCTTGCAAATCAATTTCAAAGAACAAGCTGCGGACTCAAGTAGATATCGATGACGTGAAGAGGGAGGTTGAGATCATGAAGCATTTGCCTAAGCATCCCAACATTGTGAGCTTGAAGGATACATATGAGGACGATCACGCCGTCCACCTAGTGATGGAGTTGTGTGAGGGGGGAGAGTTGTTCGATCGGATTGTTGCGAGGGGGCATTATACTGAGAGGGCTGCTGCCGTTGTGACTCGCACAATTGTTGAAGTTATTCAGGTGAAGTGTTGTTTTTTTTACTGGATTTTGCTTTTTCTTGTTTTGATCACAAAATAATGTTTTTTTTTAAAATTTATGAACTAGGTTCAATCTAGAGATATTGTATAGTTTTTCTTATTACCCCTTTTGTTTCTTGACATATTAGCTTGCGCGTGTAGAGGACATCTTTTGTGGCAATGTTAGATTTCTAGAAAATTGACGAGATCACGTGGCACACACAACACATCATTTTATTGACCAATTCTCTTTTTTCATAATGCTGCAGGTGTGCCATAAGAACGGAGTCATGCATCGTGATCTCAAACCTGAAAATTTCCTGTTTGCAAACAAGAAAGAAACCGCTGCACTAAAGGCCATTGATTTTGGACTTTCGGTGACATTTAAGCCTGGTATTGCATCTTGATTGCCATATGCTTGTTCCATTTGGTTTATCAACCCGGAACCATATCTAATGTTTATCCTTCAATTTAGACATATAATATTCTGATTTTTCCAGGGGAGACATTTAAGGAGATCGTTGGAAGTCCATACTACATGGCTCCAGAAGTACTGAAAAGAAATTATGGTCCCGAAGTGGATGTGTGGAGTGCTGGTGTGATTCTCTACATTCTACTATGTGGTGTCCCGCCATTTTGGGCAGGTCATTATATTTTATTGCTTGCGTTGATAATGAGAGGTTTTTTTTGCTATTTGTTACTTTGGGTACCGGTTGGAGCTGAGGAAAAGTTTTCGGATATCAGATGTGTTGCTTCCGTGTTCACAAACAATTGATTGCAGAAGTGTGTTTTGCTCCCCGTGTTTTTCCTGATGAACGTTCTTTGTTTTTTATATTGCAGAAACCGAACGAGGAGTTGCTCAAGCAATCATCCGCTCTGTTGTGGATTTAAAAAAGGATCCATGGCCTAAAGTCTCTGAAAATGCAAAAGATCTTGTGAGGAAGATGCTCAATCCAGACCCTAGCAAGAGGCTCACAGCTCTGGAAGTGTTGGGTAATACTCTAACTGAAAGAGAATATATGCTTAGGTTTCATTTTTCTTTTGCATGATGGATTTCTTGCTTCAACATAAATTGAGCAAATTTAGGAATTAGGCTCCCTCTATTTTCAGGAATCTTTTTCCTTGTTTGTTTTCAATTTTACTCTTTGAGCCTAGGGTCTTTTGGAAATTTTCTCTCTACCATTATAGGTAAGAAAAAGGTCTGTGTACTCTCTCCCTCCAGACTCCAGTTAAAAATAGGAACTTATTGGAATATTGTTCTTCTTTGCAATTTTGAACTACTTTCTTTTTTTAGGAAAACATTTTTTCACAACAAACTTTTTGGAAAGTTATTTTCCATCAAACATTGTCTAATGTACAGAAGTATATTTCCCCACGGCAACTTGCATTCTAATCGTTGGGATGTCTGGTGCCCTCAGATCATCCTTGGCTGCAGAATGCACAGAAGGCCCCTACTGTTTCTCTGGGTGAAACAGTAATTGCAAGGCTTAAGCAATTCTCAATGATGAACAAGCTGAAGAAAAGAGCTCTTAAGGTACTTTTCTTGGCATTCGTTGTCTTACTGTAGATTATTTTTTTCATGGGTTCATAGTGTTAGCTTGTGGGCTAAAAGAGTAATTGTTGATAATCACTTCATGCCGCCGTCGACTGAAATGATGAAAAACTTCCTGCTCTTTCGCATTTTTCCCTGCCTAAAGTGATTATCAACTCATAGGTTATAGCCGAGCATTTATCTGTGGAGGAGGCTGCTGGAATAAACGAAGCATTTAAACTAATGGATTCGAACAACAAAGGGAAGATCGACAAGAATGAGCTGAGAGTTGGGTTGCTAAAACTTGGCCATCAAATTACTGATTCAGATCTTCACATACTTATGGAAGCTGTAAATACCTTTGCCATCGAACCTTTTTTTAAAACAAATGAGAATAACTTTATATCGTACCTATGTTATTATAGCATCGAGCTTAAATGTCATTTTATACAGGGCGACGTTGATAAAGATGGGTATTTGGATTATGGGGAGTTTGTGGCAATTTCTGTCCACATTAGGAAAATGGGAACTGAAGACCACTTGAAGAAAGCATTTGAATTTTTCGACAAGAACCAGACTGGGTACATTGAGATTGAGGAACTACGCGATGCCTTAGCGGACGAGATTGATTCCAATAGCGAAGAGATAGTTAATGCTATTATACAAGATGTTGATACAGATAAGGTCAGTTTCTTTTTTTTATACATTTTTAAATACAAGTCTGAACTAAATGTTTTCGAGTTTCTGCTTTGTGGTCAATAAAACATGTCATCTTTGTTGTTTCAGGATGGACGCATAAGCTACGATGAGTTTGACGCAATGATGAAGGCAGGTACAGACTGGAGAAAGGCTTCACGACAATATTCACGAGAGCGGTATAACAGTCTGAGCTTGGAATTGATGAAGGATGGATCTTTGAAGTTTACGAGCGAAGATAAGTGATGAAGCTAGTTTGCCAAGTATATAACGTATATATGCATACATAGCTAATTAAAGTCCATGGAAATGTACACGAGTAGATGTGTTCGGTGATCGCCTTTTTTTTTCTTCCATTTTTTGTTAATGAATCGTTCTTCTTTTTTCTGTTTTGTATTTTTGTGAGTATGTTATTTGGCTAGAGACCGTCGATATGTTTTCTGTTTTGGAGGGTTTGAAGAATGGTGAAGTTCTCTTCTTTTTAATTTGTAAATATAGCTATTGTTGAAGCTTAAATGTACTGGCTCTCATCGATGGTGATGAATGCGCGGAATTATGTATCTCCTCACAATAGTGTGAGAAGTAAAAAAAATCGTGTTTTTTTAGTTCATTCTATTTGCGCCTTGGCGTTTTGAGTGCGCTAATATACCTCTGTGTTTGAGTATTTAATTAATTTTTACTTTTTTCAATTAGAATATATATTCTATATTAATTTGATAAAATAATATTTTAAAAATATTTATTATTATAAATCTAATAAAACTATTTTTGTATTAATATCTAATTTCATTTTTATTTAATTTAAAGTCAAAGTTTACTAATCTTGACTGAAAAAAGTAAAAAATGGACAAATACTAAGGGATAGAGGGAGGAGGTGTGATTTAAAGTTCTAGAATTCTTGCACTATCATTTATTCATTCTCGATTTAATACTTCACTAGTGTGACTAAGGCCTTGTTTGGAGATTAGCAGTTAGTTGTTGGCTGTTTGCATTGGTTGATTTGAGTGGCTGTTTAAATTAGCAATTTTGACCGGCTGATTTTATTGGCTGTTAAAGAAAACCTGTTTGGCACATTCAGCTACCCATAAACAGCTGTTGATAGTGAAAATTACATTTTTAGACATCCCTACGTAGATGTAAAAATTAATTTGCTATTGTAATGAATTAATTTTTTAAAAGTTTGATAAAAATACCAAATTATATAAATAAATTACGTGCTTGAAACTGGATTGTGTGGCTGCAAATTTTGAGAATTACATTTATTAGTGTAGTTTTTTTTGCTTTGTCCAACATGCAAAATGATATGAAAAATTCTTTTTGTTAAATATGTGTGGAACTCCACTAAAAAGGTATACAATTTTTTCAATCGGTCAAGTCATATCATACTTCGTATGCGAGTGAAAGGGCAAATAAATAAAATACTTCAAAATGCCAATGAAAATACTGCAGTGATTAGCTTTTCAAATTTTAGCAGTTTGAATCTAAAAGCCAACATTAAAAGCCACGTCCCAAACATTACTTTTGGTTGTTTTGACTAGTTCAAACTGCCATATATGGTCAAACAGCCAAATATGGGCTGAAAAGCCATTTTCCAAACAAGAACTAAAAGCTCTTAGTTCTTTAATCTACTAATCCTTCTTTAGAGCCACATTACAAAGATTCTCATATGCTTTATTTGAAATATTATTCCATGCGTTCCTAATTCTTCCTTCTATTCAAATCATGATGCCAATATATGTATAAAATAAATAAATTATACTTTAAAATACATAAAAAATAAGTTTTATAATGATAGTTCTATTGATCAAGAGATAGTTTGATTATTTTATTACAAAAAATATAATTATCAAAAGATATCGATCTTGATTTTTTTTAACAAATGATTATAGAATATAGATAATGAGAGAATATATAAGTTGACCATGTGATTACTACTTAGAAATAAAAAAGGGTCTTTGATGCCTTCCTAAATCAAGGGGTATGGATGTCCTTAAAATTAAAAATTGCCATGTGGACAAGTGACAATAATATTTAAATAAATCTAATTAAAATTTGCTATGTGGACAAATGATAAAATGGCCCTCTAAATCATACTCCGTGTACATAAATTAACCTACCATCCATTATTATTAATTTAGTTTCTCTTTTTAAACTCTTAGTTCATTCGTTGTTTTTTTTCAATGTGAGCAGTCTTAAGCACATCCCAAATTTGGTTTATTATAGCGCCCTTTTTCTTAGGCCCCGTTTGGTACACAGAATTTAAATTATGGAATTGGAATTGAGGACTTCAATTCCAATTCTGGTGTTTGGTAGCACAAAAACTATGTGGATTTGGAATTGATAGTGCAAAAAATAAATTGGAATTAGCAGAATTCAATTCTATTGAATTGAATCCCATGGAATTTTTCCAAACAAACCCTTAGAGACTAATTTTACCATAGCTTTTACTGAAATTCATATTCACTCCTCTTCGCCGTATTTAACGGATTTTGAATTTAAAATTAGAAATCACCTTATGACTTTGCATTGTGGTAATGTGGCAGTGTACATGTGCACATTACTATACTTTTTTGGTAATGTATATGACCATGTTTGGTAATGTAAGTCCTATTTCGGGAATAAAAAATGGAAGTCCTATTTTGGTATATTTTCAATGTTTTAGTCCTACTTTGGTCTTTCTCCCATTTAAAATTTGGATTAAATATTTTTTGGTCCATTGGAAAAAAAAGTAACTTTTGTTTTTAGTTCTATTAAATACGGAGTATTGTTTTGTTAAGTCATCCTTACAAAAAAAATATTTTTAAAATGGTCCTTGAAAATAATTTTCACTTCTAATTTGTTGAGATAACACATTTATTTCGTACTAAATATCTTAATTAGTCTCGCATTTCTACTATCTCCAATACAATTTGCACGCTCTAAGTTCTATCCTTATTTCTATTACATCTTCAATTTCCATTTTTTAGAAATATAGGATAACAAAATTTAGAAATTGAAGATGTAATTTGATGCAGAAGATGACCTATGCCATGAGACTTGTGTATGAGATAATTAGAAATATAAAATGAAGATGTTAAGTATGAAATAAATGTGATATCTTGACAAATTAGAAATGTAAATTATACTTAAGAACCATTTTCAAAATAAAAAAATTATAAGGATGAGTTAACAAATTTGTTTTACAAAGACCAAAAACAAAAGTGTTATTTTTTACAGAGACTAAAAATATTTTTAACCCTTAATTTTTTATTATTATGTTTTAAAATTTAAATTGAAATTTAAATTGAATTTTTAATTTTTTTAAAATATTTTATTATAATAGTAATAATAATAATACTTGTGTTGAATTTTATTGAAAATTAAAATAAAAATCTGCTTTGTACATATACTTATTTTAATATTATCTCATATGTATTTATTTAAAAAAATATCGTTATATTTCGCGTTCGATCATGCTTTATATATATCTATCCATCCCAAAATTATCATTATATTTCAAACGTGAAAAATTGTATATATTTTAAAATAATTTTATTTACATAATCGTATAGGAAATAAAAACTAAAACTTATATATTCAAAAACTAACCAAAAGTTCTATAAAGCAAGAAGTGACATGTCTTTTTTATTTTATCAAATGATCAGCAGAATGAATGCACATGCATACAAAATATTGGGGTGGTTGAAATACATTTTGAACATTATGAAAAGTTAATTTTGTCTGAAACATTTACTCAATTATAGTTTAACATAATAATTTATACTCTTAATCTAATTTTATATGTTATATAATAAACAATTTTATCCCTATGTTTTTTTCATAAAAGAAAATAAATAAATACGTGTATGTTGTTCGTAGTGAATTTGTTTTTAAATAAGTATTAATTAACATGTCAAGACAATAGTTCATGTCAATTATAATAAAATTAGACGTCATCTCTATAAGTTTGGGTCAATAAATGAGAGAAAAAGTGAAGAGAATAACTTGATTTAACAAAAAATGAATAGTATATCGATTAAATTGCTTCAATTTTGAGTAAATGGTCTATTTTAAACATTTTTATATAGTGCAGAGACTTCTAAAATAGTTATTTTCTCATGTTTTAATATTTTTATATAGTTTTAAACACAACTTGATAGTAATTTTCTCATGTTTGATTGAAATAGAAAAAGAAAAGGAAAAAGAAAATAGTAGAGGGAAATAAAAAAAGTTGTTGGGGTTTAATTTGGTTATTTAGTTTTTGGGTCATTTCGGATTCGGTTTCGAGCTATTCAGTTCGTGTTATCGGATCCGGGTCAATTTTGCCAGGTTTACATAAGAATGTTAAAAGTTCAACTCTTCTTTGATTGAAATTAAAATTTATATAGTGAAATGAAATAATGCTAAAAATTAATACTCTCTTTGACTCGTATAGATATTTCCGCATTAACCCTTTTTATTTCTTTTTAATAGATCTTTTCATTACGTTTTTAACATTTAAAATATCACAACCACCCACTCTTTATTTATTACATATCTATCACCTTATTTAATATATTCCATCCATTTTCATTAAAGCTATTTTTGTAAATTTTACTTTTTTTTCAACTTTCTTTAAAAATCAAAAGTCAAAAAAACAAGAAGACGTTAAGGAAGATTACGGAGGAAGTATAAAATTGGTGAAATTTAGGAGGCATAATGGAAGCAAGATGAGGACAAAAGTTACAGCGCTCCAACCAGTCATCAAAGCACTAATTAATTGAAACCAGAGATTCTTTTGTTTTTTGTTTTTCTTGGCAAGATGATGACATCGCTATTCGATCGCTAAGTTTCAATGAGAGCCGTAGGAAGGAGAAAGTAGCTGAACCCCACCACTCCGGCACTATCATCATCGATCACTATATAAACCAGCAATCAATCGACCAGTAGTTATACGTACTTACTCATTGGAATTTCGATTCAAACTCGCCGGCCGGCCCCTTCACTCGATCAGAGAGTTTGAAGCGGAGGAGGAATCTCTAACTGTATGTCTCAGAACCCGCCGGAACGGAAGGCGATCGAATCTTAATTCTCACTTCTCAGTTGAGGTGAGTTTTTCAAAGACTTAATTTATTAGCTTGTTCCAGATCCTTGTTCTTTTCTGCAATGCCGTGATGCAGTGTTGTGTTTCGGGGTTGATGCTTGAGGCATCCTCACTCCGGCGGCTAGGTTTTCTTTTTTTGTGGACCGCCGATGAGTTTTCCGGTGACAATTTGGGATGAGAGCTGCTCATATGTTGTTTTTATTATTTGTGAATTTATTCTGCTGATCGAAAATGGTCTTGAAATGACAAATGCCACATCCACAAATAAATTTTTTACAAATTTTATTAACTTACTATTTGTGAACTTTAACAAAAACAATGAAGTAGTCTAAAATAAATTTAAAATAAAAAATGTAGTATTATCAAGTAGTAAATAATTTATCGAAATGCTATAATTGTAACAAGGTAACTATTTTCGGACGGAGAATGTATTTAGAAATATAAATACTTCCTAGTTCCTACATCGCATAATAATCTTTTACTTTATTATTCACTAGTTCTCTAACCCGTGCGTTGCACGGACAGCACTTTGAGTCAGTGAAAGAAAAAAAATTTAAAGTCTATATATAGAAACAACACAACGAAATTGTATTCGTTATAAACATTAAAAGTATTATATACTAATGTTGAGGAATGCATAGTGAAGACAAAAAAATTAAAGGTTTTGAAAGACCTCCTTGTACACTATATTTCTAAATCAAGTTAAAATAAATGTTGAACAAAAATAGCGTACAATAACATAATCAATTAAAATATCAAGTCAAACACAAAGCTTGAGGATGAGATGGTGGTTTGAAAATAACCCTAGAAAAACGGTGTTTCTTTAATGAAAACAGGTCCAAAGCATTCGACATTATCAAAGCCCCATTACACGTTTCTCAGTGTAAAGTCATATCATGTTTTTACCATTTCCCATAAACTGTTACACTTTCTCATAAATTTTTAATCTTTCCCATAAACTTTTATACTTTAACATAAAGTATTTATTTAAGTTACTTTTTTTTCATATACTTTAACTCTTTACCATAAATTTTTACACTTTCCTATAAAATATTTATTTAAGTACACTTTTCCATAAATTTTAACTCTTTCCCATAAAATTTTACACTTTCACATAAAGTATTTATTTAAGTTACACTTTTCTATAAACTTTAACTCTTTCCTATAAACTTTTACACTTTCCCATAAAGTATTTATTTAAGTTACACTTTTCTTTAAAAACTTTAACTCTTTCTAAAAAACTTTTACATTTTCTCATAAAGTAATGATGTCTTTATATTGGAATACATGAAAGAGTGGTGAGAAAATAATGATGTCTTTACATTGGAATACATGAAAAGAGTGGTCAAGCCGTCAAATTTCGTCTCCCAATAGGCGTGCCTCTTAAGTGCATTAAATGCATTTATTATTTCCTATAAACTGTTACATTTTTCCATAAGTATTTATTTAAATTATTACATTTTCTCATAAACTTTTAATCATTCTCATAAACTTTTATACTTTCCCATAAAGTATTTATTTAAATTGTTACACTTTTCCATAAACTTTAACTCTTTTCCATAAACTGTTACAGTTTCCCACAAAGTATATATTTAAGTTACACTTTTCCATAAACTTTAACTCTTTCTCATAAACTTTTACACTTTCTCATAAATTATTTATTTGAGTTACACTTTTCCATTAATTTTTACTCTTTCTCAAAAAACCTTTTACACATTTCCATAAAGTAATGATTTCTTTACTTGGAAACATGTGAAAATATGGCCAAGCCGTCAAAATACGTCTCCCAATATGTATGCCTCTAAAGTGCATTACATGCATTGCATTAAAAGCATAAAATTTCGTCTTCTCATGTCTTCTTTACACGCACGGATACCCAATAGGCATGCCTCTTAAATGCATTAAATGCATTGCATTAAAAAAATAAAATTTTGTCTCCCTATGTCTTCTTTATATGCTTGGATACCCGAGATGAAAAGTGCTTTTTTCCAAAGCATTTGGATACCCGACCGTAACACTGCACCCATTCCATGAATTGGACCATTTTTTTCTTTACACATTTCAATACCTGATAATTAATACCCAACTCGTTGACCCAACCCGAAGCCCATAACCTTAGGCAGGAAAAAACACTGTTCATGTTTCCCTTCACCTTTGTATATTAAGAGACAATTAAACGACTTAAACTATATGGAGTATTATCTTTCTTTATTTATTAATATTATTCATTTCATAAAATAAAATAATCTTATCAAAACTTGTTTCTAGAATTTTAGAATAATTTTAAACATATAAATTTTATTTTTATTTTTATTTACAGTATATAAATTTTATTTATTAACTCTACATGAACTTTTATATAAAGTCAACTAAAAATAATTTTGATCAAGTACTCTAATCAAAGTATCAAATGGGTTCCATTTAAAAGCATTCATAATGGTGAGTGAAAAAGGTGTCCTTACCAGTTACCACACACTCTCTCTCTCTACCCTAATGTCATCCACATCATCAATTTTAAGTGTAATTATTATTAGAAATATTAGAATGAATTCACAGCATAATTTTCATCTTATTAAATTCATCATCAAAATGATGAGTATAAATATTACAAAGTAAATAATCAAGACAATCAAGGAAGGTAAGTGGAAGATAATCAAATATCTTTGATTGGTAATTTGATTCCAATCAAGGATATTATCCTAGTCATCAATAATATTCCTTTGTTTGACACTATTCATTTGTTTGACATTTCTAACACTCCCGCTCAAGTTGAATCATCCGTTTCGGATGTTTAACTTGCTTAATGTTGCTTGAAATACTCCAGCTGGTACTGCTTTTGTGAGAATGTCTGCCAATTGATCTTCAGATCGGACATATGGAAGACTGATGATATCTGCCTCGAGTTTCTCTTTGATAAAGTGACGATCAATCTCGATGTGCTTGGTACGATCATGTTGTACTGGATTCTCTGATATACGAATAGCAACGGTATTATCGCACATCAGTCTACATTTACCCTTCAGCGGATACCCCACATCTTTAAGGAGTTTTCTTAGCCAAAGAACTTCAGTAATTCCTCGAGCGATCCCTCTGAATTCTGCTTATGCACTTGACAGAGCAACTACCTTTTGTTTCTTGCTTTTCCATGTGACCAAATTACCTCCAACAAAGGTGAAATACCCTGAAGTGGATCTTCGATCGTTTGGATTCCCTGCCAAGTCAGCATCAGTGTAGGCTTGAATATCTAAGTGACCATGTTTTTTGAATGTAACTCCCATATTAATGGTCCCCTTAAGATATCTCACAATTCGAATAGCCGCATCCCAATGTTCCTTCTGTGGTTTGTGCATGAACTGACTTACCACTCCGACAGCATATGCAATATCAGGTCTTGTGAGTGCGAGGTATATAAGTCTGCCTACAAGTCTTCGGTACTTATCTTGATCAGCTTGTATTCCTCCCTCATTAATTTGAAGTCCGTGGTTAACCATCATTGGAGTGACAGCCGGTTTGCAATCCATTAATCCAGTTTCAACTAAAAGATAAAGGATATACTTCTTTTGGCAAATAAAGATCCCCTCTTGAGATTTGAGAACTTCAATGCCAAGGAAAAAGTTAAGTTCTCCAAGATCCTTCATGTCGAATTCCTGGAATAGCTTGCCTTTTAGTGTAGCCATCTCTTCTATGTCACTGNATAGTATCAATTTTGGCTACCGGTGAGAAAGTCTCAGAGTAGTCAATACCATAAGTTTGAGTATATCCTTTAGCTACTAATCTAGCCTTATATCTCTCGATTGTACCATCTGCCTTGTGTTTGACTGTAAATACCCATCGGCATCCGACAGGTTTCTTTCCTGAGCAGAGTTGACATTTCTCCCATGTGTTGTTTTTCTCTAGCGCCTCCATCTCCTCCTCCATTGCTTTTCTCCATTCTGGTATTTGTATGGCTTCGTCTACTGTTCTAGGAACTTCATGGGTGGATATGTGAAATGCCTGTGACACACTCCCCCTGACCAGATCAGCAACAGGATATCTTGAATTCCGAGGGATGTATTCTGGTTCATATCTGACAGGAGGAATTCCCCGATTCTTCCGTGGTGGGAGAACATATCCGTTTGATATATTCAATTCTTCCACGGTATCATTAGATTTATCAATGCAATCATCAGGAGTGGGGAAAGTACTAACCTCAGGAGTTTTGTCACACGGAGTAGAATCAGACATGAGTTCAGAGTTGTTGGACTGTTCAATGTTCTCAGAAGATGATCTCACGGAGTGACTTACTTCCTCGGTTGGGACAGTTTCAGGCGGCAAGACTGGGTTGTGTAACCACTCTAGAGAGTCATTCGTAATTTTCTCCCCCTGACTACTAGAGTGGTTTTGGAAATAGTACTCAGTTTCCAAAAAATTACAATCCATTGTCGTGTACATCCGACGAGAAATAGGATCATAACATCTGTATCCCTTTTTGTGAACCCCATACCCAACAAAGACACATCAGACAGCACAAGGATCAAATTTTGTTCGTTTGGCTTTTGGAATATGTACATATACAGTGCAACCAAACACACGAAGAGTAAGAGTCAAGAAGGTGGGAACAGTGGAAAATTTTGCGAGTGTATCAATGGGTGTTTTGTGATTTAGGATTTTTGTCGGAAGGCGATTTATGAGATAAATGGTGGTTGCAATTGCTTCAGGTCAGTAATAAATAGGAACATTTGACTCAATCATAAGAGCCCTAGTGATTTCGAGTATGATCCGATTCTTACGTTCAGCAACACTATTTTGTTGAGGGGTATCAGGACAAGTGGTTTGATGGATAAGACCTTTTTTTTTACAGAAATTTTCCATAGGATGATTTATGTATTCTCCTCCATTATCAGATCGAAGAATACAAATCTGTTTTTGGTATTGTGTGTTGATCAATTTGTAAAATGAGGTGAACTTTTCAAAAACTTCATATTTGTGTTTAAGAAAGTACACCCAAGTCATACGGGTACAGTC